CAACGAAAGGAAACTGCGACCACACAAAAGGCCACACCATCTTGGTATTCATACCTTCGATTAAACTATGGAAGTAAGATTACCAAACAATGCACTGATTACAGCCGGGCAAAGAAGACAATTGTAATTTAATCCTGCAATTTGGCCTTTTTAAATTGTTGCAAACATTATATTATCGCTCCCCGATTCTGCAATCTAATGAGGAAGTGTCATTTAGGCACAGTTAATGAAATACCTTATCATGCTTCCATCCAGAAATTTGAGGAAAGTTAAGAGACTGAGAGGCATAATCTATTAAAGTTCACAGATCTCAAGTCTAGATTAAGGAAGGATCTAGATAGCGTTCTCACTTTGAATGATTTTCAAAAACTCCAGATCATGACCGACCAGAAGTCACAGAGGGTCCGTGATCTGATAAATAAGTGGCATAACAAGAAGCTGCTTAGCTATGAAATAATAAGACAACGCAAAACCAAGCCAACCCGGGCAAATTTTAATGGTGCAGTAAGGAAAATCTAAATAGATTCCTCAATTTCATTAACAAACTTAATGAAAGAATAAGATTTACTATGGAGGTAGAGAAAGATGACCGATTACCCTTTCTGGATATTGAAGTAATGCGTTCCAAAGGGACACTCATCAAGAGACTATACAGAAAACATTCATATGCGGAAATAATCCTTAATTTTAAGTCTCAACCATAACTACGGACTAAATATGGGAATACTGAGGAGTTTGATCATCAGAGGCTTATGACTAACGGACACTGAGCTCTGGGACGAGAAGTTGGGCAAACTGGTAAGGACTTCCCTCAGTAATGGGTACCCCAGAGAATTTATTTAAAAAAATTAAAAAGTTATAACAGTCAGATTTCAACTCGGATTTTATGAAAATAAGATCAGGAAGCAGAAGGGCGACCAGAAATGGGTTTGATTGCCCTCATCAGAACTGAGCCATCAATTGCGGCCGTTACTAAGTAAATGGAATATCAAGGTGATAACAACTAAGAAAACACTTTTCGCCACTCTTCCGACGCAACACGAGAAGACTGACAAACTGGATTGCTCGAGAGTTTATCGCATCAAATGCGGCAACTGTGAGAAGATGTATATTGGTGAATCTGTAAGAAAAATCGGCATACGAATCAAGGAAGATCAAAGACTCTACAAGAACATGGATACAGAAGGATCCAAAATAGCGGAACACATTGTGCGAACGGAACACGAAACCAACTAGAAATCGACCGAAAGGCTGGCTGTATGTGATGAAAGGAATAAGAAGCAGAGGAGACGTCTTCAGTGAGCCTAATCAAAACATGTAAAACCATGAAAATTTTGGGTTGGCATACAAGAGACTAAGACGTAGAAAGTGATAGGCATGGTATGGATAGAAACAGGATAGACGCGATGGAGACTAGAGTTATTTGGCTAACAATATACGTATTTGAGCATAGATGTGATCCATAAAGGACGTCTATTTTTAGTCAACTAGCTTTAGTCTTCACTGTATCTATCCTGTTTCTATCCGTAAAACCAAGTCTATGACTTGCTATGCTATAGTCATTTGCGTGCCAACCCACAAATGTAGTGGTTCAACATTAAATGCAATAAAAACAAGCAGTAACACAAAAGCATTTGTGTGCTTCGCTAATCTTTGAGGAATAGCTTGAAGCGTCTCACCAGCATAAAGTCAACCAGAATGTTTTTTCTAACCATAGTTACAAAACTAGGAGTACTAAGCTTGCCAATTTCTAGCTACCACCATTTATAAAGCAATCTTATAAATGAACATGTGAAAACCAATCCATTCACTTAACCAGCTGTCCTACCATCAATTCAACAGGCCCTAATTTTTAATTCATATTTAGTATATTGCAATTACATACCTTCCACCAAAATCGACGTAGAAAGTGCGCTGCAGCATTTCATAGCAAAGCAATGTAACACCAAATTGCGGGCTGGAGCGGAAAACGCGTGCCGGCGCACCCTTCCAGAGAGCACGACCACCCTCTTCACGCCAGATCTTTCGGGCAGCATCTATGACTCCAGTGTACGTGGTCTGGCCGGCACGAGCAACCACCTGAGATATTAGATAATGGGCCAATACAATAAAAAAGATAAACCGATAAAGGAGAAATCACTAATGTTGGCCTGACATTAAAATCGAATTTTAGCC